GGTGTCCCAAGTTGATTGTGAAGCAGTTTGGGTACCTGGCTGTTCCATCACTGAGGACCTGAGGTCAGGATTTCCCTTGACAGGCTGGCACAGAACATTGAGAATCCTTTCTCTGCCTTTGTTGTATATGGCCAATTTCCTAGGATAATCCATTTTTTCACTAGCGGCTATTATGAGGACATAAGACACCAGGAGGTGCACTTTGACCTCTCCTGTTCTCTTCTGTCATACACAGAGTATTTGAAGCTTTTGGCCTTTTGTACCAAAGGTCCAGTTTTGTTGTAGGATGTCAAGGCTCCTTTTGTAAGGGGCACAGAGCATAATTCCTATGATGCTTTTGTCACAACAGTGTATTTGTTTTAATGACAGCTAAGCCACATTTAGCAAAAGCAATTGACCCTTGGTGATGGATTGACTTGCTTGCCATCAGAGTATGGAACATTTGTTTTGACATTAATGCAATAATACCAGTACTGCTACTTTCTCTAGGTATTTTTCTCTTACTGTGTATCCAAAATTTTTGAATGCAAAACCCTCACGTTCAGTACATACAAGATAGAATCTGAATGAAAAATATTTTGCCAATGGAAATTTCATCCTTTTTCTTTTTGTTTAGCATTTAAAATATAGAAATCAAGCCCTGTTTTCTTCAGAACCAAGTCAGTGCAGCAGAAGATTGTGTGACAACTTATAAAAGAATCATTTGAGGCCATGAAACAAGAAAGAGAAGGTGAAGCAAAAATGCTATCATTTATGGTGGAGCAGAAAGTAAAGAGGGGACCGAGATGAATAGAAGGAAAGAAGCACTAATGTTACTTGAATGAAATTATTTCCTCTGGAACATTTTAAAGGCAAAACAAAAAGTAATAAGGGATTAATACCTGAGGAAGAACTGCTCTATGATTTTACCGTGAATTGCTCTTTGCTCATAAGGAAAAAGAAATTGTCATGAAAATGACCCATTTGGATTAGTCAGGAGCCAAAAAACTCCTGCACAGACTTCTGCTTGATTTCAGATCCTGGGGAAGATTATTGCAGGTGTACCTTTTCCTCAGCCCATGAAGACAATATTTTCCTAGGCTAGGCTAGAAGTTCGGGGCAGTGTTCAGTCTGATATTAAGACATGCATACTTGAATATCTAAATGCAATTGTCCTAGTCTAAAACAAGTCTATACCATCTGACCCTCCATGGCTATTCCAGACAAATGTTTCCTTTCCAGTTATGTTCATTGAACTTGAATAGATCTCTCCAGAGGAACTGACATCCAACCAGTGCTCAGGATTTCAAACTTAGTTGGAACAAAATTCCTGGATATGCTCAGGTGGCTAATTTTATGGAACACCTAAGTAAATTTAACTAAGATGACTTCTACATCTAGCCTTTAAAATTAATTTTTAAGCTATTCTAAATTCCTGTCATTCCCTGAGCATCTTTGAAAAACACGCTGTCCTATACTGGCATACACGTTTGTCATACCACAAGGACACTGGTGTTTTACAGGCACTTCTGCTGGGCAGGATGGTGTGTGCTGCTGGGGACAGATGTCAGCCTGTGATCAACAGCGTGCTGGACATGCCAGAATTTCAGCTTCTGCTCTGGGCAGCTCTGGAGGAACTTATGGCCTCCCCTTGTGGAATTGCCACTAGTTTGCTTGCAGTGTGCAGTGGAGAGTGGTTGCTTCCCTTCAGGACTTTTATTTAGCAGTATCTAGAATGTACTGCTTATTTTTCTGCCCTTCTACACTATCTGTGAAATTAGCTTTTGGGCACTCTAGGTATTTGTTAGCTGTTTTCCCCTGTTAAGTGTGGCCCATGGACTATGTATATAGCTTGCATTCAGGCTGCTACCCTGTTTGGGTAACTTGTCTGGGGCTCACAGATATCTTGCACATGCCCAGTCAGAGATGCATAAAACACCATTGTAAATGAGAGGAAGGGAGGCAGATCTGGACAAACGGGCCAAGTTCCTAAACTAGCTGTGATGCAAAGGATGTTGAGACCTTTCCCCCATATGTAATAATACCTTGTGGTTTCTCTTAGTGTGGCTAGTTTGAAGTTTACACAGGTGATTTTCTGATGGAAACCTGTTGGGGTGCTCTGATGCCAAGCAGCTGGACCACTAAAGTTGGAAGCTCTGTTTAACTGCATTCTCCACATCCAAAATAATAGTCATTCTGTTATGAAGCAATAAGCATGACTGTGCACAAAGGGTTAAGCCTTTTTTAATTAGGAACTCCCATGATGATTATTTTCATGACATACAAAAAAAGGAAAATTAACCTATGCGTAGTTTGCCTCCAAGCACTCTTCAAGGGTTTCATTTAATTTGTCACTGATACAGAAAGAGGACTAATTTCTTAGTAGATATTTATCTGGAGGGAAGAAGGTGGTAAATAGTTACCTGTACCTGTGAAATGCAGGTGTTCATTAAGTGCACCCTGACATAAATATCTTCCTTTTATTCTTTCGTCTCCTCTGTTTGTTTGCTCTCCGCTGTTTTATTCAGGAGCAGCCAAGTGTTACCCACAGGGATATCCACCCGTGGTCACTAGGGTAGATATGTCATAAATATTCCTGGAAACTCATTAAAATTAATCTAACTGCCAAGCAGCTTTTGTTTGCTTTTGAGCATTCTCTGAAGAAACTCTGTAGCCAACATTTTTCTAATGTCAAAATAGGAATCCTTTCTTTTACATGGACTTGTCTTTTATATCACTTCAAAAAGAACTGTCTGTGCTGCTTCTTCGAAGTGAGAGTTAAAATTTCATTTGTAGTTACAGCAAGACCACACTTCCTTAATAGGCTAGAACAAGAGCCTTAAAAGAAATTTAATATGAAAAAAACAAAACAAAAAAGCCCCCACAACCAAAAGCTAAAATTTCAGAAAGCCTTAAACTTCAGTCTGCAGTTTGTTTTACTAACATCTTGTTTCTTCAAAAACTGGCCAGATAAAACCCCTTTTTTGTTCTTTCACATTTTTCTCAGTTTGACTGTCTATGTTTTTCTGGTACAAATATTTTGCAGTTATACCTCTTATATTATTGGGAAGCATTGCAGCAAAAGAAGGTTTAAGTCAAAAGGACCTTGAATATGCAGTCACATTCCAAAAGAGTTGCACTTTGCATTTTTCTGACCTGTTTCTAGGAGTTAGTTTCACAGCTTCCACTTCCTCAAATATTCTATTTCTGAATTTCAATAGCCTTCATTATGGTTGCAACCATTTACAATAAACTTTAGTTGCAGCTACCTTGGTGGTGTCTGGTTGAAAGCAGCTATTAATATGGCAAGGATTTTACCTGTTATTTTCTTTGAAAATTAGAATCAAGGCACTGACTTTCTGCAGTTAGACTGAGAAACTCCTAAGTTTGGAGCACACAGAAACCCCAGACTTTTGCTGCCTTTCTCTTTCGTTAAAACTATAATTCCCACATTTCTATGCAATTCCAAGCATATCTTAGGATTTCTGATAGATGCATGAAGTTTCACCAAAAATAATTTAATTTGCTAATAAACAAAGTTTTATATAATAAAATATTTTTTTCCTGGTTTGTTAGGATTGTTGTCATGTGTGACATAGTAACAAAATCCAAGTAGTTAGAACAGAATACTCAGAGTGTTTGTTTGATGTATTCAAGTTTGAGAAAGGTATTATTAAGGGATTGAATGCCATTAATTTTAAAGTTTTTTTTTGGCACTTGGTCAAAAGAGAATAAAGATTATTTTGTTTGAATGCATATGGTTGTGTCTATATTTCACTAGAAAATAGTACTAAAGAGAGTAATAAAAGCAACACAACTTGGAGAATGGATTCTGCAATGCCTGGGGACCCAATGTGGTGGACTTTGCCCTTCCAGCTGCAGAACTCTTGGCAATGATGTCAAGTGTGAAACAGCTGCAGATGCAGATGGATTGTCCAAAGTGAGCCCATGCTCAAGGCATCACACAGCACACAACACGTGGAGCATATCTGCTGGGATGACACTGCTCTTTTCTGCTTATATTGGGTAACTTCTCTAGCCTTGCCTAATTGATAATGAAAAGTTTGGTCAGCAAACAGGTATTGGAAAAGAATATTTGTAATTTAGATATTCATAGAATTATTATTCAGCATATGCTATATTCCAGTGGGGAATAAGAGTCTGGGGTGTTTGGGGATGAATGCATAAACCATTCAGGAACTATTTGATAATAATTAAGGAAATAAGATGCCTAGTGTAAATAAAGTAGGCTTTTAATTATAATAGAAAAGGAATTCTTCAGAAATCATTTGTAAGATAACTTATATCTCAAGTATGTTTTGGCAGGGTTTCAAATAAGGTATCAGATAGTGAGCACATATTCTGTGAATGGATTGCAGCTAACCAATTTAATGGCATTCTGGGAAGATATTGGAAAATGTCATTCTGTGTGCAAGATTTTCTGAAATTGAGTCAGAAGTGCAGAAGTGTACTGTTTGCTCTGTCACATAAAATCCTTAAAGCACATTGATAGGATGGTCTTTGCTGGGAATGTGAGGAGCACTTACTCCCCTTTTCAGGAAGGTGGTGGCTGCACAGTACAGTATTGGGTCTGTTAAATCCACATTTGATCTGGATCACAAACAGGTATATGAGCATTTCTGATAAATTAACCAAACCATGCACTAGGGTTTAGACCTCATGTTTTTTATATCATTCCTTGTCAGGACAAGGGCATTAAAGCTGTCAGAAAGTTTTGTCAGAACTTTTGCATGAATTTGTGCTGAGAAAGTGAAAGCTTGATTAGCTCCTTTTATCATATGGCTACTGCAGGTTTTGCCCCATCAGAATTTATAGGAGGAGGCTTGTGCATGTTCTGTTTAGTGAACTCTGATCTGGTGGAAAAGCTCACGCTGACCAGTGCTCATGCTTGTGAGGAGAGTTGGTGCTGCTGTTTTCTTTACTCAGAGTGGCAGCAGCTGGAGAATAAATACAAGGGAAGATTACCTTAGGTTAGCTTCCTCTTTGCTCATTAGCAGGGATAGGACACTCTACCAGCAAACTCCCAGGAGACAGCTGCAAGTGCCTGAAGACCTGATGTGATCTGGGGTAAGCTGTTGGCAGTTCCTGGGACAAAATGCAAGGAAGTTCAGTGGTTCTGGCATCACCCAGGAAAGAAATACTAAATTTCCTGAGCTCCAGAACAGGTTTTAGTGCATATTTTGGTGTTTCATATGATAACACGAGTGTAGCAAAGCTGTAGCTAATCCTTCTGTGTCTGGCTTTCTCCTGAGTGCAGGCAGCCCAAGCTTGCTGTGTCTGCTCCTTTACCATTGATATTGTGGTAACACCTACAGAGAAGACAGGAGAAACTCAGAGAATGCCACCTTAGATTACAAGGTGCTGGCTAAGGCAGATGAAGGTGAAAAGGAAGATACCTTGGCTGTGGTATGTGAGCAGCCGTTCATGTGGCTGTGAGAGGACACAAGGCTGTGTACCACAGCTGGTTGTATATTATACACATATAATACCACAGTTGCATGCCCACCACCTGGAAGGCTAATTTTTAGAGAATCACAGAACAGCTGAGGTTGGAAGAATCTCTGGAGATTAACTAGTCCACCCTTCCCCCACTCCAGTTTTGGGAGTATACCTACAGAAGAGGGAGTCCTACTTAGCTTTATGCTTTTGAAACCTCTAGACATATGATACTCTTGACAATATGACCATTGCATGTAATACCTTGAAAGTAATTATAATAAGATCTCCCTCTTGAAATACATATAATTCTCTTTAATTCTCTCTCTTGGCTTAGAAACTAACCCAATATTTGCAGTTGTTGCAAACTGCCCTTTGCAAATGGTTTCTTCTCTTCATCTGTGAATCTCAGGCTGTATACAAAGCCAAGGGTATAGCCCACAGTTTGCATTAAGTAGCATTTGATTAGGTGGTAATAACATTAATTGGCACCCAGAATCAGTTGGCTGTAGGTGATCTGAAGTGATAATGCACTAGAGCTTCTAACATTCTAAGTCAAAATGCTCCCTTAGCCTGGGGAAAGATGCAGGTGTTTGGGATAAAAGAGTGTTTTGTAAATGAAGGACTTGAACACTGTGATTCCACTTCATTACTCCTCTCCTGATGCTTAATGTAAAATTATTATTGCTGCCTCTCTTCTGTGTTTTAAAAGTATTAGAAAATTAAACAGCAAACTTTAAAGATAAAATATGTCCCAAGTTATTAAAAAAAAAAAATTAAAGCAAAGAAGCAAAAAGGGTATTGAATAACTAAAAAATAATTTAGAAACATTCCAGGTTCAAGCCAGCATATCTATTGTTAAAAGATACAATTATAAATTATCAATTCTTGATTGTCTTGCTTGCCTTTGTAACAATGAACACCTCAAAACAATTGCCTTTCCTGAAAGACTATTTCAGCTTTGTGGACTGAGGTCTTCATGGAGACAGAATATATGTATGCAGCTGGCAGAGCAAGTGTCTTAGTGAAAGGTAATTGTTCCCCAATTCCCACAAATCCTTTCATAAACCATAGGCCACGTTCTTTTTTAAATGTTCTTTCTTATATTTCATTAACAGCTGAGCCATTGCTGAATTATAGTTAATATAATCAGGAGTTAGGCTTTAGCAAAAACAGCATTGCCAACTGAGGGAGTGTGACTGTTCCAGTAATTTTGTACTCCTTGGAAAAGACATGAGCAAGAAAATTATGAAGCCCTCTAAAATTTGTCTATGTTATATATGGCCATGTAGAATATTGGCATAAAATTAAATTTGACATTGTTGTGAAATTGCAGGCGTGCACTTCATGTCTTATTGTCTTCCCTGAAAACTTTCTTTCCTGTATTTTTCAAGGCCCAGGACCATGTCTGGGAGAGATGCTCTGTCATCAGTGCATGTGCAATAAGTGCCAGATCAACCCTGGCAAGATCAACCTCTCTGTTCTGCAAATAGAGAGCACAGCACCAGGTGCCTGTGTCCGGCTCTGGAGAGCGTGGCATGGGGTGGTGAGGCAGAGAAGAGGGCTCTGGCTGTGCTGCCTTTGACAGGCACTGTGGTCTGCAGCTCGGGCTGGCCGAGTGGACAGTGCTCCAAGCACACAGGGGAGGCAAGCTGTGCAATCTCGAGGATTTAACACGTTGCTCTTCTTAAACATATGCACTCTATTTGTCTGTGGTCTAAATTATTCTCATGGATTGTTCTGAACAAGGTTTTGGTGTCCTCAGTAGTACCCCAGAATAAAATTTGTTTCCTTTATTTTTAAATAACAGAAAAGAACAAACATAATAGAGAAGAACGAGCAAATAATGAAGACACATGGGGTGAGTAAAGCTCTGCAAGGAATAAAACAGCATTTAGACATGTAGATAAGAATTTCTTAAATTATGCTATCGGAATATCCGTGGGGTTCTATAGGCAAATCATTTGTATAAAACACTGAAGAGAAATGTGTAGTGTAAACACAACAAAGATCTGATTCTTTTCTTAAGGACTTATTTGCAGTTTACATAGCTTGTGGTTCCCAAACAAAGACTGGTTTTGTCAGACAGGGAACAATGTGAATTGCTGCAGGCATGAGAAAGGAGAGCTGCATTTGGAAAGTATTACAATTATAATGGGAGTAGATTACGAAGCAGATAATTAATGGTAGGGATACAGGATCTTCCCTTCCCACTGGGATTCATTCTCTCTCTGCTGGTGTAACTTATAGCCCTGAGGAACACTCTTTTTAGTTTCAAGACTCTCTTTTCTAATCTCTAGGTCTTTTGGTGTTTTATTGCCTTGGTCACAAAAGTTCAAGGAGGTCACTCCAGAAGATATTCTCTGCAAGGGATTAAAGTGACTCAGAGGAACAAAGTAATTTGGAAGTTTTTGCAGAAGCCTTCTTCCACCTTTAAACTAATAAAGTATTCTCTTCCACTCCTACAAGGCCACTTCTGAAGTGTTTTGCTCTTCTGATTCATATAATTCTTCTTTCAGGAAGATCAGGAAAGAATATGTAAATCTAAATTGACTTCATAATTCTATCTAAATAATGGAAATAGTATATTGAAAAATGTACATGCTTGGAATGATGAATCAGTTAATGATATTATTACTGATAAATATAGCATTGCTCTTGTCAATTACATTAAATAATATAATTTTCTCCCCCAAAAATATCTTTTATTGTAAGATTTTGGATGAAGAAAACTAATTGACAGAGGCTGATACTTAATAGGGTAGATCAGTGTATGAGATTTATTCCTGAAAAGCTCAGAATAGAAATTAAACATAGTTATTCACAAAGAATTAAGAAAGCAACACAAACATTGCAAGCAGAGAAATAAGTTTTAGATTTTGAATTGGTGACTGGTCAAGTACATAAACAAAGAATAAGAAGCATAGGTTACTGTACTCTTTAGACTATCTGATACAGATTGTTTTTCACTTAGTGCCTGGCCTGTAAATAGAAATCTTCGAATTTGCATGCTGAGCACATATATAAGAATAAGAGAAGACTTGTGTGAATGGAACACAGCATCACCTTGAAGTCTTCAAAGTTATTCGGAGTCATCAAAACAGTAACTCAAAGTATCATCAAAGCAGTAAGCAGCATAGCCTCCATATAGCAAAATGTAAATAATTAGCAGAGAACCATCTGTAATGCATTATGAGCAAGTGTGCTCCGAGTATTGATCTATTAACGCATACATATATTAATGTAGTCAATGTGTTGAGTTATGTCATGCTGTACAGACTGCTAAAAAGGAGGAAAACTATTTTAAAAGCTTTTATTTTCCCTGTGTACTGCGGCATTTCTGTGGTTTTGTCTTACATAATATTAAATTTAAACTTCATTGATTATATTTGTGTGAAGATAACTAAGTCTTTCAGTAGGCCAATTGGTATGGCCTACTGATAATGGTAAAAAAGGCTTTTATCTGGTCACTCAGCCCCTTGTGGTCTAGCAAGTGTGCATATCATCCAGTCAATTAATATATTTCAGTGCAGAGTTAAAAAAAAATTCGGCAAGTTTTATAATTGCTGAGGTTTCTGGAAAAAAGGTATATATATTCATGAATTAGGCCCTTTATTTTGATGTTTTGCATAATATAAGCCCTAGAACCTCCCCAAAAGGCAGTCCTGCTTAGAGAAAAATGCTGACTATATTGTTTAATAAGAAAATGGAAAATATCATTGATTTTGTTGTAAAATTATATATGCAGACTTATTTAAGTTTGAATAATGTTTAATTCATAGCTGATTCTATTTATTTTGCAGAAGCCTTTGTGCAATTCAATATTACTAAAAAAAATAGTATTTCTACAGCCAAGCTAAGGGCTTGTGATACGGTGAGGTTGAACAGTGTTGAAATATGTAATATCTTAATATGCATAAAATTTGTGTTTTATGAATAGCATATAGATATAGCTTCCCTGAGTCCTCAGCATTTTTCTCTAGCAATTCTAAGATATTTTTAAGAAAAAAAAATTACTGTAAAATTTTACGTATCAGATTCCTTTAACCTAAACCCTATATATTTTCATAAAAAGGGAAAAAAAACTGTAACAGACATTTAGGAGAGAGGACCTCCCATGCCAGTGTTTCTTATGGGTGAAGGTGAGGAAAGAGGGCAGAAAAGCAAGAAAACAGGTGTAGGTATTATCATGTCATATATAGGAAAATGATATGGAAGAGAAATTGTCCAGCACAAGGTTGTTCAGGGAAACTTCATCCCAACCAAGAAGCAGGTCATTTGTCTGGTCCCAAGTCCTATTACAGGTTCTTAACCACAAGTCTGGTTTTCCTTCTTCACTTGCAAATAATTAGTAGGATTCTGAAATTATAATTTCACTCAGTCTAGTTTCCTGTTGTGCTGGCTGGTGGTTTTCAGTGTGGCTGGTGTCTTACCTCTTATTTTTCATTAATTGGTTGGCATTTGATTAGCCACCAGCCCCCCAAACCACAGGGAGTTTTGTATTTGAGCAAGCTGAGGTGAGAATTGAGTCCAATATAAGTCATTTGAGTGCAGCTGAGCTGGAGATTCAAGGTGTTAAGTACTTACTGAAGACTGTTCTTATAAATCAGGTCAGTCTGTGTGTGTACAACTGTGCAATTTGAATTAATACGCTTCTGCATGTGCTGTATTTTAATAGAGCTGGACAAAGGACGTACAGTAAGGAACCGAGTAACTCAGGGAAAGCCTAAGCTGCCTAAATGCCAGTGGGATAAAAATATTGCCATATTTACCTCCAGTGTAACCAGAATTTTATTTTTTTTAACATTTTCATGTTTGTCTATGTGAAAATGGAGAAATGAGGTAATATGAGACATTAGGTTCGTTACTGTTCTTTTGCTTCTGTTTGCAACTATCATCTCACTTTTTTCCCTCAGCTAATATTGAGTTGAGGAAAACTTATAAGAAAAGAAGTTCTACAATTGTCTGCTCTGTTCCCTAAGGAAAGATTTTTTAAAAGGTTTTTGGTTTTGTTTTCTTTATATATGGTAGGGCAAAGGGCTCCAACTCACTTCTGGCTGGTGTTGAAAATGGCTTCTTACAGTCTGTCTCCTTTTATGTTTTGTACCCTCTGCAGTGCCCTTTCACTGCCTGAATATTTACTGCATGGCAGAGGAACAGAGATCCCGTAAATGTGAAACAGAGTTTGCAATGTTTTGGAATCAAAATACTTTAGCACTAAAGCTTCCTGTGTTTTTAGCATTATAGGAAGAGAAGAGTCCGTAAATTTGTAAAGCAAGTCACTAGTTTAAATGTCATATGAACTGTGCTTGTCATGCAAATTTAGAAACTGATTTACAGGCTGAAAATGTTATCAATTGAGCTAGAGTATTATGTAATACCTGAAGTAACTGCTCACCCTGCATTATTCAGAAGCATGTATTTATTAGAGAAAAACAAATTGAGCTCAAGTTTGGTTTTTTGTTAAATTTAAAATGGGGAGGAAACTGACAATTAAACAGTCAGAGCTTCTGAAAATTATTTGTGACTAGAAAAGAGAAGGGAAAAAAAGACAAGGGATGAGAGGTAAACATTGTACTGTGCAGATTGGTTGTGCTTTTTCCTGGAGCAAAGTTGTGCAAATCTGTTATAAATGTGGTAGCTCAATAATAAATTAGGAGCAGGAGAATACAAGCAAAAAAATTGGGTGAATTCATAGAGTCATCTGTATTTTAGTTAAGTGGATGCTGTAATGTGGTAATAGAAATGTGTTACCTATATATCTGGTTTTAACAAACATTGCTTCATTACACAGCTGTAGTGACTGTTTCTCATTTTCAAGAACATAAGAAAATATCTTACTGTGGGGAAAATAATACACTTATTAAACTGCAAGTTGCCAGCATGACATTCTTGACAACCACACACACACATGCACGCACACACCCATACATATGTATGGAAAGCATAAAATAATTAAAATGTTCCTGAACCTGTGCATACAATTTCATTTTTTGTAATATTCATTTCATCTGTTGTAGAGAAATGCTGTTTAATTTGAAAGAGGCTGTGAATTTTACAAAATGAGCTGGTAATAGCATTTTACTTAAACTTATGGCATCTCTGTTCATATTGTGTGGTTCAGGAATGGTTTCTTTATAATTAAAGTGTCAAAAAACCACATTTGAATCAAGAATGATGAAATTTATTCTGGATGATTTGCTAAAGAATAATAACTTTAAACTTTCTCCCTTTAAACAGAATTGTTTAGGCTTTCTCATCAGCTGTCCAGGGCTTCCTTATTTCCTTTTCCAGCTACCCTAGGAAATGAACTGGTCTGTTATAATGCTTTCTTTTTTTCCATATGCTCTGCATGTTATACACATTTCATGGGTCAGTTATTGGAGGCTGTTGTACCAATGATTTACATGACCATTGGTAAATATTTTTTAAAACTGTACTGAGTAGGTAAGAAGATGCAACATATTGCACCTCCAGTACAGAGAGTATAATCAGTGAAAGTCCAAATTTTTTGCAGAAATCTGGAGACTTCCAGGAATCCAAGTTGATAAATGTGAATTTGTCAGCATGTTGAACTTGACTCCACAATATTTGGCTTATTAGTTCACTGCTGAGCACAGGATGGTACCTCTGGCCTTGATTCAGCAGTCTTTAAATAAATGGATAAGTGCTCTGCTGAATCAGGGCCAGACTTGTGCAGTGTCAATATAGGGCATTTTGGGTGAAAGAAAATGTTGACCACAGGGGGTTTATTTCTTCTTCCTCGTAGGGGAACAAATCTGAAATAAATATACAGAAACATTAGCAGGAAAGAACATGGACTGAAAGGTTTTACCTAAAATAAACTTCAGGTTGTAAGTT